CTATGAACATTGTGGTGCATAGGTTCTTTGAAATTGATGTTTTAGGATTCTTGGGGTATAATCCTAGCAGTGGAATTGCTGGGTCAAAAGGCAGGTCAATTTTTATTTTTCTGAGAAAATTCCATACTGTTTTCCATAATGGTTGTACCAGTCTGCAATCCCACCAACAGTGAACTAAGGTCCCCTTTTCCCCACACCCTCTCCAACATTTGTTGTTTGTTGCTTTGTCTATTATAGCCATCCTGACTGGTGTAAAGTGGTATCTCATTGTGGTTTTAATTTGCATCTCTGGGTCATGATTTCTTATCCATGCAGCTACCCTATGTCTTTTGATTGCAGCATTTAATCCATTAACATTTAAGGTTATTATTGATAGGTACTTTTTTCATTTTACCTACTTTGTACCTGTGTGTGTCTCTCTCTCACTCTTTTCCTTCCTCTTCTTATAGAAGTCCCTTTAAAATATCTTGCATTGCTAGTTTGGTGGAGATGTGTTCATTCAGCCTTCTTTTGTCTGGGAAACTCCTTCTTTGGCCTTCCATTTTAATTGAGAGCCTTGCTGGGTAGAGTAGTCTTGGTTGCAGGCCTTTGCTTCATTAGTTGGAATATTTCTTTCCATTCTCTCCAGGATTGGAGTGTTTCTGTTGAGAAATCAGCTGCTAGCCTTATTGGAGCCCCTTTGTATGTTACTTCTTGTTTCTCCCTTGCTACTTTTGAGATTCTCTTTTTGTCTTTAAAACTTGGCATTTTAATTATGTTGTGTCTTGGAGTAGGCCTCTTTGGGTTCATGTTGATCGGGACTCTCTGTGCCTCCTGCACTTGTGTAGTTTTTTCCCTCTCCAGGTTTGCAAAGTTTTCTGTCGTTTTTTCAAACAGGGTTTCTATCCCTTATGCCTTTTCTTCTGCTTCTGATATTCCTATGATTTGAATGTTGTTGCATTATCCTGGAGTTCCCTTAAGCCATCTTCATACTTTTGAGGGGTTTTTTTTTGTGCAGCTACTCTAACTGGGTGTTTCTTTCTACCTTGTCTTCCAGCTCCCAAATTTGGTCCTCTGCTTCATCCAGCCTGCTTTTAATTCCTTATAGTGGTTTTTTTTTTTTTAATTTCGGAAATTGTATTTTCCATTTCTTCCTGGTTCTTGTTTATAGTTTCTATTTCCTTTTTAATGCTGTAGTAGTTCCCACAAGTCCCTTATGCATTCTTATAACCATTCTTTTGAATTCTTTGTGATAGTTTGCTTGCCTCAATTTCATTTAGCTCTTTACTAGGGAATCTTCCAGTCCTTTCAATTGCAGGTTCTATTTTTTTGTCTTCCCATTTTAGGTGACTGTCTTTGTTGTTTCTGTGATTCTGGGTGCTCTGCCTTGCCAGCTATCTTCAAAGGGTGAACTTTTGTGGTAAGAGTTCTGTGGGACTCATTGGTACGGTCTCTTTGATATTCTTGTCTGGATGTTTTAGGGCTGCCCTTTCTTCCATTTGTGTGAGCTCCCTTGTTGGTCTGGGCTTTACCTGTTGGTGGCTTCTTTGTTGGTGGGTGCTCCCCTCCAGCGGGTTTACTGGTAGTTGTAACTTCCACCTTGTCTTATATGTTGCTGTACAGGTGTTGGTTAACAAAGCAGTATTACCACATGACCAAACCTATGCCAGGAAAAAGAACTACCTACCACATTTGTAGTTTCAATTGCAATAGGACTAAGATTAACAAAGGTAAAGAGAGATTGCAGATATTCTATGGTATGTCAAAGGGAATATGAGGGAAAGAAGGGAAAATGTTATTTCATGGTAAAAGGGAGAAATGTTGATTAAGAGTTGGGATAAACTGAGGTGAAGAAAAGGAGAGAAAAATTTTAAAACATAAATAAAACACAAAAGGGTGATGAGAAAAATGGGGTAAGAAGAGGGAAGAGTATACTGTGAAGTTTGGAGTAAAATTGGAAGTTTGGAGTAAAACTGGACCAACAAGAGCAATTTGCAGAAAAACCACAGCAGGGTCCATATCAATTACAGCTAAATCAAGTTTAATAAAGGTGGATCGGTAATAAGAATGTTGTAGAAAAGTGAAAAGTGAATATGAGATATCTATAGTAAAGAAAAATGGTTTTGTGAGGATGGGGGGAGTAAACTAATAGGAGTAAGGAATAAAGATCAGGTTGAGAGAGTGGGTAAAAAAAGGGAGAGAGGAAACAATGAAATAAAATTTCTCCCTCAACTGATTAGGGGCAGGTGGAAGTCAAAATGGAATGAGACAGTGCGAGAGCATTCTATGGGATTTAAAGTACATACAAGTAGTAAACAAATAAGTAGGAGATCCTTTGGAGAAGAACACCAATAACCCTGGTAGTTCGCTCAACCAGCCACTGTTTATAAAAGGTAGAATAGAAATAAGAGTCATAAGAAGGGATAAAGAATGTGAGCTGACTTAAGAAAGAGGAGCACTTGTGCAAGGTTAGATGGAAGAGAAAGAGTGAGAGTCAGGGATAGGAACTTGGCATAGTGTGAGAAAAAATAAAGTTTATAACAACAGTGATAAAACTCATGGAAACAATTAAATGAATTAAGACCAGGGAACGGTGCTGTGTGGAATTTGGAATAACAATAGTATGATAAGAAATACATAATCTGATTAAAAAGAATAAAAAGTGAAAGACCAAGAATAGTGTGTTATTTGGAATACGAGTGAAGTGAAAGAAGAAAAATTAAAATGCAATATGAAAGGGAGAATAAAAAGTCTAAACAAATCATCAAAAACAAACACAAGCACAAAAACTGAATAAATGGAAAGAAGAAAGGGAAATTAAGAAAAAAACATGCAAGTTCTGAAGGATAGCAAAGTGAAATCTGTCTCAGCTGTTGGTGTTCCCCTTCTGACTTCTTTCTGGATTTGTCTGTGGTTTTCTCTCAACCCCAGGTGCTACTGTCTCACTCTGGAGAAAACAGAAAGTCTTTCGAAAGAGAAAGCCCTGCAGGCAGAGGAGGTTGGGCTCCGTTTTTTCCTTTCCTGTGGGTTCCTCTAGGACTGGGGCTCAGTCTGGGCTACTGTAATCACTGGCGCCGAGTTTCCAGCCCAGGCCCTCAGAGTACTGTGCATCCCGCCCTCTGCACCGTGCGAATTTGAGCTCAGCCGGCACCAACAAGTCACCTCACTTTGCACCCCTTTGATCAGTCAGTGAAGTACACTGACTGGGAGCAAATCGCACCCATACTCCTCCCTCTTTGTTGGCTGGGCCGCTGTGCATGCGAGGTCCCTTCACAGTGAGGTGCGGCTAAGTTCCCCTTTTGAAAAGTCTCCAGGGTGCCATTGCTGCTCAGAGCCACAGCCTGGCTTTCTACACAGCACAACCCTCTGGCAAGTCCAGAGTCTATGTGGGTCACAGCCAGTTGCAGCCCGTCTCCTCTCTTGGCTCCAGGTGTCATCAGGATCCCTCAAATTCTCTGGCAATGTCCCAGGCAGCAACCGCCACCCCAGTCTTGGTACACAGCTGGCTGTACTTAGCTTGTTGCTCCGCCACCCCCCACCCCCCCCAACAACTTTATGGGGCCGGTCTGGGACTCCCCGCTTTGGGAGGGGAGGGAGCCGCTGCGCAGCCATCACTGACTGGTCTCTCCTCCTAGGTTCCCACAGCAGGCATGCTTTCGGCACCTGGTCCAGGTACCTTCCTCTAGGCCTATAAAATCTCCCTACTACCCATTTCGTTTCGAAGCATCCTCCGCACACTTTGGTTTTTAAACTTCTTATCAGCTGAGATTCTGGTAGCTGTTCACTCTGTTTTTCAGAAGATTGGCTAAGTGTCCCAGCTGGCTGTAAGAGCAAGTGGGCTCAGCTCCCAGCTACATTGCCACCATCTTTCCCTCAATTTGAGAGTCTTACAAACCACAATTTCTACATTAATCCAGTTGCTAACACCTGGTAAATTTACTACCATGTATTCCTGATCATAGGCAAACACATGATTCGATCTGAAATGTTTGGTTCTCCTGCAACAAGGACTTAGGAGAGGGTGACAAGACTACTGGGAAAAGACTATTTTTATTCTGTTCATTTTGAAAAATCAGATTCATTTGTACCATTCTCTTTAATAAAAAAGAAAACCAAGAAATAATATGCAAATTAGATCTATGTATTTATTTTAAATCCTCGCCAGAGGATATGTTTATTGATTTTAGAGATAGAGGAAGGAAGGCAGAGAGAGGGAGAGGGAGGAGAGGATGAATATTGGTGTGAGAGAGAAACATCAATTGTTGCCTCCATTAAGATGTGCTCTAACTAGGGATCACACCCACAACCTTTTAGTGTATGGGATGACACTCCAACCAGCTGAGAAACCTGGCCAGGGCTCAAACTAGATTTTAAAAATGTTGGAAAAGAGTATGATATACTGCTCTTTAAAAAATAAAGTTACGGAGAGACAGTACAAGAATAAGTGAGAAAATGAGAGACAGCAGGTTGGAAGTATATATACTATAATATTAGTGGGTATCTCTAGGTGGTGCAGTTATAGGTAATTTTAATTCTGTTGTTTTGTGTTTTTACTTGACTAGAATTTATCAGGATAAAGATGAATTGTGGTACAACTGGAAAAAACAGTTAAAAGTAAGTAAAAGGAAACATGTAAAAAACTTAGAAAATTCTTAACTCACACTTAAAGTTTTTTGCTTATAAAGAAACTAGGAAATTATACTTATCACCTAATTTCATGAAGTAAATGCCAAGTACAAAATAAATTTTTATTTGTAATAAAGTCCTCCCATCATCATTTAAAAAATTAATGTATCTTACAGACATTACCTTTCTAACACTTAGGGATGTACCTCCTGCTGATGAAATAGTTGCATGTCTAGCAGACAGTCTATCATCACATGCAGAGCACAAGCCCAGATAAAATGCCACTTAACACTGAACTTGGGGAAATAGCTTAGGAAAAGTAATTTTTAAAAAGCCCCACAGTTACAAATTATATGTCCTCTAAGTGGTTGCTGATTTCTTGTGAACCATCTTACCTGTTTTTCATCAACCTCAGCTCTCGTTTGCGTGTGGCTTCTTCTGCGAGTTGCTGGGGGCTGTGCAAACTTCCTGGGGAGGCAGCCACCACCACTCCCTGAGGCAAAGCAGTCGGAGGAGCTCGGATCTGGTAGGTTGGCATGTCGCCAGTGGCAGCTGCAATGAAATATTACATGCTTATATAAACATTTTACAACTTGGTATTTTATATAAAATTGACCTGGAAAAGCATACATCTCATGTCTTAAGGGGTAATGTTGCCAACGTTTAAGATGATTATTCTGAGCATTATAGGAATCGTAGGTATTAGAGTGCTTCAGCACTAGGAACAATGATATTTAGCATGCTCTAGACATTTAAGGAAGAAAATTGCCCTAATGCATTTTGGGGTAAGTTTTTTTATCAAAGGCTAAAAGTAGAGAGGCTTTTCAACTGAGAGTTTGTTGAGCCTAAAATCAGTGGTGTGCTGATGAAGGTTTAAACACCAGCTCTCCTGGAGCAAGCTGAGATCTGCAGCATGTTGATTCCATGATGTAAACACTTTCGCCATGGCCAATTGGAGGCTACCAGTATGACTTCAGTGAATGCAGAATTGGGAAGACATACACAGGAAGTGGCACAGCATGCAGATGAAACAGATGTAAATGACAGCAAGAGCATAGATTAAAAATTATAAAATGATAAATTTTGAATATTAATGTTTTAAGTAACTTATTAAATTTATCTTTAAATTTTTAATAGCTATTTTAACAACCAGCTCACAAAAATCCTGAAAGTTTAACAATTAGCTCTAGCAAATCAGTGAGAGCTTGTTCCAGCACACCACTGCAGAAATTTTAATTAAACAGAACACTTCCATCCAGTTAGATTTTCCTATAGCTTATACCCTCACCTAACATCCTTTAGTGCAAATCCTATTGCCAGAAAAAGTACTGGAAGGCAAATACTTGCTCACTGTATTTTCATCTAAGAGCAAAAAATAACATACAGAATAGCAAAGCTCTACTTAAAACTGGTTTGTACAGAGAATAGTAATTTTGTCTTAGTCTTCTTGGGATAATAATATATTCCTAAGTATTCATTTAAAAATATTGTCCAATTATAGTATAATCATAGTTAAAGACTTAGTATTTATTGTAGAATTCAGATTGAATCCTACAGTCCTCCAGGTGTCCTAATTTACATTTTGCATGAGTCCACCTACTGCAATAAACAGCTTCCTTAAGACAGATGGGTTAAATTGATGAAACATGTTCCTGCCACCACTGTTTCAACTTTGAGAACATACAGTCCAGAGTTCATGTGACATTCTGATGAGCTATGACCAAATACATGCTCTGTCAGAACTTAATGCAAGAAAATGGGTTGAAAATGATAAAACCCTATAAAAGTTGGTCTGAAGCAAATGCCAATCAAATATGAAACACATCACTTCCATACTTCACTAAGAAATGAAACTTTACTCAAAAGGGAGGCAAAGGCTTTTTTTCAGGTAAATGGAATATAATCTCTTAAAATAGCCAAGTGGTTTAAAGGGTTAATGAAAAATTGATCTATATGTTTCTTTTTAGGTAAATGCCATATTTTATCCTCCCTGGACTAAAGAATTACATGAAAGAATAAAATAATAAAAACATGGCTTTGGGAGAAAACCACTTAAAGGTCTTCGTAAGATTGTAAGGCTGTACTGCTTCTTCCTTCTACACATAATTTAAGAAAGAGTGATGAAACAATTATCACAGCTGTAATTGTGATAAATATAGTGATGATCACCAACTTGGGAATAAACCTAAATTTGTTTCTGTGACAATTTAAAGTACTGTACACACAGATGTCTCAGTATATGTCATAGAAAATTTTATACCTTTGAAATATTTTAGAAAAGAATTTTAAAGTCAGCTATAAACTGTTAGCGGACAAAAGATGAAAAAATATGTATTTAAGTTATATTGTAGAGGAGACAGATTGGAGCCTGGAGTAACAGTTCTCTTTACCCACATCAGGGAAGAAGGTTATGGGGTAATGAGGATGAAACAATGGGGCAGCTGGAGGAGACAAAGGCTTTCTAAAACTGGAACAATGGCAGTGACAAGGGGAAGTTTCCCATCATCATGTTGACATATGTAAGCAGCAGGGATGCAGGCCTTGGTCTAGGGTTGTTCTTGCCAAATTGCTCACAAACAAGTGCAATAAAATAATACAAAGGCACAGAAGTGTTCGTTAATCTCTCTAGTTTTGTATATATCTGCTTTTCTCTGTAAAGTTAGAGCAGGATGTTTACACAATATACAAAAGTTAGTTGGAGAGTACTCATTAAAAAGTCAAAAGGGGCCCTGGCTGGTGTAGCTCAGTGGATTGAGAATGGGCCTGTGAAGCAAAGGGTCACTGGTTCAATTCCCAGTCAGGGCACATGCCTAGGTTGCAGGCCAGGTCCCCAGTAGGGGACACATGAGAGGCAACCACACATTAATGTTTCTCTCCCACTCTTTCCCTTCCCCTCTCTCTAAAAATAAATAGATAAAATATATTTTTAAGAAGGTTAAAAGGGAAGGCAGGAATATTTCACAGATGAAAAAGGAAGTTCAGCCCTGACTAGCGTGGCTCCGTTGGTTGGGCATCCTTCAGCAAACCAAAAGGTCGCCGCTTGGATTCGGGGCACACGCCTGGGTTGCAGGCCAGATCCCCAGTTGGGGGTGCACCAGAGGCAACCAATTGATGTTTCTTCTTTCCACATCAGTGTTTCGCTCCCTCTCTTTCTCCCTCCCTTCTCCTCTCTCTAAAAATAAGTAAATAAAAATATATATATATTTTAAGTTTATTGGTCTTAGAAACAGAAAAGGCTCTAAATTCTTGCCTGTTTCCAAAACTGAAGCCACCTTACAAAGACCAAACATGGCACTGTGAAGGATCATGGCAATTCCAAAACAGGCATACTTAAAACATTTTGAGCAATAGCTTAGGAAAAAATACCCTAACATGGTGTTTTGGAAAGGATAATATATATGGATGTATTAGTCCTCAAATCTTAGCTAACAAACTAGGTTTTATTATGATTTTTCAGACATACTATGTATTCATTTTATCTCTCTCAACAAAAATCACATTGCAGCTCACTGGTTCAAGCCAGAAATATGAATTAGTATAAATTAGATGAAATTAGTATAACTCTCCAGTGATGGTATACTTCTAATGGTCACTGAATAAATATCAATGGATAAATTTCATAGAGTCAAATGATCTTATTAGTTAATACATTAAAAAGATATGGGCAAAGAGAAGGTCTTATTTTAAGGACATCCAAGTGTTAAAAGTTTTGTTAGTCAAACAAGTGATAAAAAGTTTATATACAAAAATTCAGTGGTAATTTAACGCAGATGAGATACCTGGCATCACAGTGCAAAGGGCATCCTGCATTCTTGGATGTCGTATTCTTACACCGGTATGCTAATAAAGGCCATGCTCCATCTGATTACTAATGTGCCAAAATTATTTTTATTCTAAAATTTCACTGTATAAATTATTCCTAAAAATAAATAGGTCATCAGTGGGGAGTTTAAACTCATGATCTAAGAAAGATAATAAAAAGATACACTAATTTAATTTTATTCTGAGGTAGCAAAAGTTTTAGACAAGCTGCAGTACCTTTTGTGCCTTGCATGTAATCCCCTAGAACCCAGCAACACTTGTCATATAATGGGTGGCTGGTAGGCTTACTTGTGCACCAGGGAGGAAAATGTTGAACTTCCCAGGGTTTTGCACAAGCCCACTGTCAACTGGAATACCTCAAGTAAGCAGTCTTATTATTATAAAACTATCATTAGCCATTATCAAAGCTAAGTCTGTAACACTAAGACATGGAAAGTCCTGAAATATGCTATGTATTTATTCAAACTGGCCTTTCTTGATAGAAGGCATTATTTTCTAAGCCTTCCCCCCTTTGGTGCTACTCAAATAACTTGGCATTTTAGAAGCAGAGGAGTTCTAATTACTCTATAGGGTTTCCAACCATCTAACTCCTGACATAAAAATATGTTTTAGGTTTGGTATCAAATATTTCATGAGAAAAGAAAATTCTTAGAACTCTCCAGTTCTGGTAATTAACTGCATACCTCTCTGTGTGAGCTTTAAACACAGTACAGAAGAAAAAAACATGGGATTTGGAGTCTGAGTTCTGGTGCAGCTCTGCCACTTACCAGCCATGTGACTTGGGGCAAGTTCAGTTTCCTCATCTGCAAAATGAGATACATTATCTCATTTAATACTCAGCACAGAGCCTGGCTTATGGTAGGCATTCAGCAAGTGTTAGTTCCCTTCCCCTTCCCTCCCTTAAGTTCTGGAAGATAATATTCTAAACCATGCTTATACTGCATATTAATTAAAAGGCAAATAACATCCATAAATTATTTCACTGAAATTTCCCTTCTAACAAACCTGGGTAATGGAATGATTAAAATGTATGGCTCTCATTCTTTATTTTGTAAAAAAACATGCCTATTAACTTTAAAAATGTATACTATATTTTATTATATCCCTTTGCAGTATTAAAAGATAGTATTATAAAATATCCCTTTAAATGTATGTAATTATTTAAAATATGTAATTGTAAAGGTGAAGAATCACAAAACACTGAATGATACAATCTCATCAACTCATAATAAAGAAACTGAAAAACCCCACAAGTAAAAGAGGTGTTTGTTTCCTCCTAAAAGAGAAAGAAATGAGAAGCCTAGCCCAATGCCTATCTTGATAACTTCCAATGGGAAAGTCTGTCAACACCCCACAATAGTGACTTTGCCTATTAATTGATTGATTGATATCTCTATAGTACTGAACACATTAACTGAACCAAAACATTTTTATCTGTGGAGCTCCTATCTTCACAGGTCTTTTTGCTATGTGTCACTAATCACAAATACACCTAAGTAAGAAGCAATAGAGGTAACTTAGATGTCACACTTAGAAGCAGAGAGCTCCAGGAAGCTACTGACATCTGTTTTTAAACACCTTTCTGTTTTTTTAAAATATATTTTATTGATTATGCCATTACAGTTGTCCTAATTCCCCCCACCCTGCACACCCCTCCCCCCATTCCCCTCCTTTAGTTCATGTCCACACGTCACAAGTTCTTTACCATCTACATTTCCCATACCATTCTTGCCCTCCCCCTGTCTATTTCCTACCTACTGTCTATGCTACTTATTCTCTGTACCTTATCTTCCTCTCTCTTCCTCCCACTCCTCTGTTGCTAACCCTCCATGTGATCTCCATTTCTATGGTTCTGCTCCTGATCTAGCTGTCCTCTTAGTTTGCTTGTTTTAGGTGTGGCTGTTAGTAACTGTGAGTTTGCTGTCCTTTCACTGTTCATATTTTTTATCTTCTTTTTCTTAGATAAGTCCCTTTAACATTTCATATAATAAGGGCTTGGTGATGATGAACTCCTTGAACTTGATCTTATCTGAGAAGCACTTTATCTGCCCTTCCATTCTAAATGAAAGTTTTGCTGGATAGAGCAATCTTGGATGTAGGTCCTTGCCTTTCATGACTTGGAATACTTCTTTCCAGCCCCTTCTTACCTGTCAGGTCTCTTTTGAGAAATCAGCTGACAGTGTGATGGGAACTCCTTTGTAGGTAACTGTCTCTTTTTCTCTTGCTTTTAAGATTCTCTCCTTATCCTTAATCTTGGGTAATGTAATTATGATGTGCCTTGGTGTGTTCCTCCTTGGGTGCAACTTCTTTGGGACTCTCTGAGCTTCCTGGATTTCCTGAAAGTCTATTTCCTTTGGCACATTGGGGAAGTTCTCCTTTATTATTTGTTCAAATAAGGTTTCCACTTGTGGCTGTTCCTCTTCCCCTTCTTGTACCCCTATAATTCAGATGCTGGAATGTTTAAAGATGTCCTGAAGGTTCCTAAGCCTCTCCTCATTTTTCTGAATTCTTATTTCTTCATTCTTTTCTGATTGGATGTTTCTTCCTCCTGGTCCACTCCATTGATTTGAGCCCCAGTTTCCTTTCCACCACTATTGGTTCCCTGTGCATTTTGCTTCATTTCACTTAGTGTAGCCTTCATTTTATCATCTAATTTGTGACTAAACCAGTTCTGTGAGCATCCTGATCACCAGTGTTTTGAACTATGTATCTGATGGGTTGGTTATCTCTTGGTCACTTAGAAATATTGGCTCTGGGGCTTTTAGTTGTTTTTCTGCTTGAGCCATAATGTTTTGGTGTGTAAGCACCTGTTATGTATGAGGGGAGAAAGCTTAGGTGTTCATGGTGCGGGGAGGGTCAACCCAGTCCCTAGGTTGTGACTGGGGGTTGGGTCAGAGAGGGAGAAATGGCGTTTGTTCCACTGTCTCAGATTTCAGTCCCCTCTGCTGCTTCCCACAGGCAAATTGGGCCCTTCTTGTGCTGCTTCCGGGGCGTGTGGGCTTGTGTACGTTCTAGGACCCTGTGGGTCTCTCCAATGAACTCTCCTGTGAGGCTGGGAGCCTCTCCTGGCACCTCAACCCCCGAAAGTTTTTTCAATCAGTGCTTTTAGGCTTTATTTCCCAGCACTGGGGCCTTGGGTTGCATGGTTTGTCTCGCTGTCCATTTTTTTTACCTGGTTTATGTGCATGTGAATGTGTGACCGTGGTCAGCCAGCTGCCTTGCACCCTCACTGGGTCTGCCTGATACCACCCCACATCTGGAATCTGTCAAATGCTGCCTGTGCACCTGGGTCAGTCCAGCAGCCACTGTTTTTCCCTGCTGTGACCCCACTTCACCAGCCACTGACCCTGCCCCTCTTACCAGTCTGGATGAGTGGTTCATTATTGTCAGACTTCCGTAAAGTTCAATTTTATGTGTTTTGGTTGTGTTTTTGTTTCTAAATCTTTGTTATCCTTAAACTTGGTTGTGTACAGTATTTCCACCTACACCTCCATCTTGTCCGGAAGTCCTATCTTCACCTTTCTGTTTTGGTTCTTGCCCTCCCTATGACCACACCAGTGCTCCTAATGCTGAAATCAGGCTCGTCCCTGATGGGTACCTCACTCTGTTAGGAAGGTTCTCCTCATTCTTGGTCCAGGTTTCCCAGCAAAATTAAATCCCATGCAAACATGACTATTTAAGTGCCAAACAGTTCAAATATGTTACAACACATAGACCACATAGAATCAAGTCATTAAGTAGTTTTTACTTTAAGTTATACATGAGTTATGCATTCAGTGAAAACCATAAGAGTAAAAAAATCTGTAAAAAATGAGAAATTATATGGATATTTTTAGTTGTACGTAATAACAAACTTATGCTCTGTTGTCCTAAGAGAGTAATAATGCTAGAAAAAATCTATTTTGACTACTTAAAATGATACAAACTTTATTTTGTATATTTTATAAGCAGTGTGTAGTGTGCTATTGTAACTCACCTAACATCAGCATTATTTTATCAATGTCAAGGTGAATTCTGAGAAGCAGCGTAATGTGAACAGAATCAGATAAGGACTTTGAAGAGCCAAGCTGTTTCACCTCTTGCTAGTTCTGTAAGCTTGTAACAGTCATATACCCACTCTGATCTGTGTGCTTATGTACACGATGAACATAATAATGTCTGCCTTGAGTAAATCAGGGGGTGTGGAAAGTGCTTTCCCTTGTGGGTATTTAAATGTGGCTTCCTCAGCAAGGCCTACCCTGATCCTTCAAACTATATTAGCTGTGAGTCTCTTACAATATGATAGTTTGATAGCACTTACCACACTTATATTTATTTTTATTTGTGAGATTAAGAGATTTTTTATTTTAAATTTTACAGAAATGCAAAGTATTATTTTACTAGTCAGCCAGTATGTTTACATAGGCAAATATAACTGGCAATTATCCCAAGTGATCTTTCATTAAAGATTTTTCAAAAATAGTGGGAAAATAGCATATAACAATTTCATACAGATTCAGAGTTCTAATGAAACTTAAGGTATGTGCCTCCTATATTTTCACTTCCAATATAATTATACTTGCTTTGCTACCAACTTCAAGAAGCTGTTATACCTGATACAAACTATACTTTTATGTGAAAATTACCAAAAACCTTTCCTTTCACAAAGGTGAAATGTATCCTCATTCTCTTATATCAAATATTAATTAAGATACTATTTTATAAATTTGAATAAGTTGGAACATTTGTTTTTAATAATTCAGATATCCAGGCTGAATACAATTCATTAGAGATTTTTAGACCCAGAGACTAAAAGATGAAGAGTTAGACTCTTAACAATCAGCTTATAAATAAAGCCAAAACTATTTCTAATAAAAACTTAAATTACATCTAACAGAATAATATAATTCTGTAAACTGTAAGTATTCCCTTTTCAAATTCAATCCCCTGTCCCTGTAAGTAAATGCTTCTAAAACCTTGCCCAGACTGGTCATTATTGTCAGCAGCCTGACGCTGGTCTAGATCAGTTTTCCAAACTGTAAGTTGTAGATCATTGGTGAGTCATAAAGTCAACTTCATGGGTCAAGAATAGCATTTAAAAAAAAACAAATAGAAAAGTATGACTACATTACATATACTAAAGCTAAGGATTACTTTTCAAGCAGATTTTTATACAGACACACAAGTCTACTGTCATGTAAATGTGGGTCATGGTCAAAAAGTTTGTGAGCCAATAATCTATACCAATCAACCTTAGAGAGAGAGAGAGAGAAAGAAATGTCCTTTTGATTTTCGAATAGCACTTTAAATAGAATTGATTCTGTGAGAACTGACCAGATTTCAAAAAACAATGATTTCCAGGGGTACAAATGAGGTAGTGAAAAAGTTTGACATTTTAAAGTGTCATCATTTAGAAAATTTTGAATTGGAAAGCATAAATCATACATAGGCATTATGGGTAAAACTGTGGAAAATTTATTCAAGTATGCTATATTCATTCTGGAAATGTTTACTTACAAGCAAAGGTTAAAAATTTATGCAAATTGTTATAAATGTTCATATTTAAATATATTCTAATTTCAGATCATTTTCTTTTTTTGTTATGATATTCGTTCATGTTTAGAGAAGTCAAATGATGAATTTAAATTTATAAACCAATTACTATGTTTTAGGAAATAAATATATGCACAAAAGTGGTTTTTGGTCCTAAGAATCATATGACATGCACTATTTCAGGTTACTTTAAGTTCATCTATACCTTACAATAAATTTGCCATTTGAGAGCTTCTGCAATCTATACTATCTCTAAAATTTCACAGAAGTT